CGTCGCGTTCAGAGCATCCAAGAGACATTGTGGATTGCCAGTGAACGAAGTCTGTGAAGGTTTGGGAGTCTACCTTGAAGACTTACCAGAGTGATTGGGCGAGGACTATGTGACCTTAGCTCAAGGAGAATACGGTGAGGACTTGGTGTCCTGAGCTGCGTGTTCAGGACTGGGTGTCCGGGACTGTGTGTCCTAAGGTTTAAATACCTAGCCGCTCCAACCAGACGTACAGTTGTCACAGCAACTGGAACTGGTCCAACACATCATTGTCTTCAACGAGTCACTGGTTTCATCTTCACTTCCTTTTACTTACTGATCACTCATTGTGAAGTCATTGCGTGTCTGTTCTATCATTTGTCTTCACAAGTGAGTGTATGATCTGTTTGGCTTCATAGTATCTTCCTACCTGATCCTAATTACACTACAGCTATTTGTCACTGTGCTTTCACTCTGTTGATACTTGACCATGGCTTGCCTAGTGTAGTCTAACTTCCGCTGCTTAGTAATAGGCATATCTCTACTGTTTGTCTTCATAACTTCCACGTTTTGAAGACTTTCATAAAAATCGCCTATTCACCCCCCCCCCTCTAGTCGATATAACGCACTTTCAGTGACTTTATCATTACAAACAACAAAATAATGTTAACATATACAATAATAATGCAAAATACTTTACACTTACATTTGTAGATGACTGCCTTGCTTCATTTAGAAAACCATGTGACCTGCTATTCCATTGATGTGAAGCTTGTTATAAGACCATACATTCATATACTGAATTACCAAACCATGCCTTTAGTTCCTCTTTCCCCAAATTCCAGGAGACAGAGTTTCCACAAAGTATATTTCCCTTTGTGCAAATAACTGAATAGCAAGAGTGAAAATATAATATTCCAATGAGCCAAATGTCATTACAAATAAATAAATAAAAACTTACAAACAATAGGCTTGCGGTTATTTGGTATGATATTAAGTTCCCAAACTATGTTCTTCCTCATTTGAGTTTATTCATTCCCGCAATTCTTCCACCCATAGTTGACATTGATGAAAAAACCTTCTTAAGAGAATTTAGTGAGTCCTCTAAAATTTAGAGTGACTTTCCCCAAAAACACATAACAATTGTCAAGAGATGACATTCCAAGTTAATTCCTCCCACTTATCCTAAGCATGTTAGTGTCGGGAGTTCCACTTGTAGTTTCCTTTGGGGTCAAGGTTATACTATAGTATGATTGCCAATAATTCCACCATTATCCATAAAATAATTGTGCTCCTATTTTCCACTAGTATTCCTTTTCCAAATAACTAAGGAAACACCCTTTGATCCACTAGAATAACCATAAAAAAATCCTAGTGTGCGCTTTGTAATAACTGAGAATTTCATGCCAAAAAAGAAGATTTACTTCCAGTCAAGTGACTGTGCTAGATGGATAATGATATCAACAAATGACAGTATGCAATGCTTCCTTCCAAAGAAACAAGGGAGTATAAAAGACATTCAATTCCTCCGTCCGATTGTGGAGTGTATGGTATATTACAATGGTGAATAGTTCCATGCTCTTCACCTACAAACGTTGTATTCCTGAAGTGTACTTCCCCCATCAATCAGTTGTTAAAACTATGATATTCTTTAATCAACTAAGTTTCCACTTCAGTATAACATGTGACCAGCACAATAAAACATTCCGACTTGTATTTTGAAATAGTATGAACATAACATATCAAGTGCAATCATCAATGCTGAGATAAAATAAATAACCTGGCCTCTAGTGGGAGTGCAAAGAAAATATCATAAGGCTACCAAAATAAATAGTGATGTGAAGTTTTTTTCCTTTTCCCACCTTCGGAAAAGGTGTATATAAACAAAAAATACCATCATATATGCTTCACAAGATACCATAGTCCTCCCACTAAAGTTTAGAATTCCAGAATCAATAAGCCTCTTGATCCAGTTCCAAGATATGTGACCAAGTCGTTGATGATGTAGATAATAAGATTAGAAGCATGTGTTCCTATTGAAGGTATTCCTCCATGTGGAGTTATCTTCCCCAAATAAACAGTTTGGGTTGCCAACATTCATTGGACCATCAACAAATAAGAGATCATTGTACAACATTCCATAATGCACTAATTTTACCGTTGAGCAATATATTCAATCTTCCTTTTCCAAATAGAATGACATAGTCAATAGACTCCAAGATAGAACAACAAATCAAATACCTTCTCACTAAAGTTGCATGGAGTGTCCTATAACAATAATACTTTTCCTCCACAAGGGAGTTTCATGACTTAATTTCCAATCCAAAGTACATCAATTTTCCTTTGAAATTGTTGCATGCCAATAAAGTTGCTATAGTATTCCAGCAATGAATGATGTATATAAACCAACACCATAATCCAACTATTTGAAAGAGTACCCACAAATAAATATATTTAGTGCAAATACTATCATTAGACATACCGACAAATGAAGAGCAAATTTCCTTGTCCTCGGAGTGACTCCCATCTTCCTCCATAAACAAGTGATGCTCAATAATGACACTTCTCCGAAATCCCTCTTCAGGTTATGTGTAATTTTCCGGACAATGTTTCCACCATAGAAATTTTCAATGTAATCATTTACTCCGTGCAGTGCATCCACACATTTAACACAGAGTCCTCCTTAAGTTCTTCCAAGGAGTGGACTTATTTTCCTTGTATGACATACATGCAGTAGATTAGCAATCAAACAAGTTAGTCCGTTAATCAACAATATAATATAATAAATAAATTAATAGATACTAGTTGGATTCGTAATTAGCATCCCTTCCCTTGTGGCACGCCTGTACAGGTGCAAGTGGATCTTCCAGCCGTCCGGTTGGCCGTGCAGTTGGCCAGATGGCAGGCCTAATAAACAACAACAACAAAATCCTTCTCCTTCCTTCAACTAATGTCTCGAAATTCATGTATTTTCAGAGAGATACACTGTTCTCGATGATGTAGCCAGCAGCGGCAAGGCGTGGGCAAGTTTCCGAGCAGCTAGCTCGTTCAGCTGGGCAAGTCGTCAAGTGCAGATTTTGGAGCAGCGGCAACCCCATCAAGGTGGAAGATTAGCGATTATACAGACTATGCACGCTGTCGGAGGCGCCGATTTCCGCCGTGGGCTAGATTCCGTGGCAAGGGATCCGCAGCGATGCGCATGTATATATGCCTGGTTGATTTTTGTAGCAGTACAACTCGTACTTCACCAAGCGTGTATGCACCAGCATGGATCGATCTGAATATATATTTTTTCGATTCGAACTCGCGGTTCAACCCGTGTTTCCGTGGAGCTAGACCACGTGATGCCTGGAAAGCTATACACATAGATTCCTCTTCCTTGATCGGCGTGTAGATGCTTCCAGCGCTGAATTAATTAGGTGCAACCTTCAACCGTGAACGGAACAAACGAGTTTGCTTATGACTCACAACACACGCTTCGGTGTTCGGGCGGCAGCCATCATCGCAGCACGGAGGCATGCGATCTGAATAGCAGGCGGCGAGGGCTGCAGTGCATGTGCGTGGCAATTTGCGACGGCAGATCGACGCGCGACCGGCGGCAGAGTACGCAACAATGATGACCACGTCGGCAGAGTTACACAGCGGATTAGGATCGTGGCGAAGACGGTCTAACCTTAGCTCGCGCCGACCCATTTGGTCGAAACGAACAGAAAATGTGAAAGGAACGAGGGCTACAACAACTATGATAGAGAAATTTTTATAGTGGCACAATACAAATTCATCTCATTTGCTGCATATGTGACCAGAAGAGAAGCTTTAGCTATGAGCGATGGCCTTGTCTTTACTAATTCTCTTGGTGTCAATCGGCTGTAAGCGGAGTCAGACTCTATACGAGTTATCAACTTTTTTTTCTTTTTTTGTGGGTGATACAAGTTATCAACTATTGTAATGATCAGGTCAGATGGTGGGATTCGGTAGCAGTTATCTTCGCAGAGTGTCAATACTAGTACCATGATTAGGGAGGTCATTTTAAGCATTGCTATAGTTCTTGAAATCAAGCGGTTCATGTGCTCGCTAATTTTTGTTTCTGTAATAAATCGTCTTTTAGTAGGTTGGACGAGCCTCTTAACTGTGTTGTCAGTAAACTCGTAGAGGATGTAAACATATTTTAATTTTAATAAAGCTAGCCATAATCTTGTCTTCGGCTCGCTTCAGTGTTTGTAGCTGTCAGTAGGTGATCTACAGACCAAAATGTAATTTTTGTTATTTCTGATGTACACCATGATAATTGTGAATAAATTAGACATTTTTCTGGCAAAAATAATAAGTAAAGCTAGCCATGACGCCCTTCGCTAAAAGAACGAGCAATAGAAATGGGATGGTCGAGTACTCTAGGGCACACGAAAACCTTAGGTAAGAGGTAGGTTTTTTTAAGGCAAAGGTGAGAGGTAGGTGCTCTTGCTATAAGCGAGATATAATTCTCTCGACTTGGGCGGAAGGAAGGGCTCAGTAAGCTCGTAGACGATGTAAACATATTTTAATTTTAATAAAGCTAGCCATGATCACGTCTTCGACTCGCTTCAGTGTTTGTAGTCATTAGTAGGTGGTCTACAGACCTAGATGTAACTTTTGTTATTTTTAATGCTATTTGTACCGGCATGATAATTGATAAATAAATTAGAAGTTTTTTCGTAAAAATAATAAATAAAGCTAGCCATGACAGCCTTCACTAAAAATAGCATGACGAGTGATAAAAATGGGCTGGTCGAGTACTCTACGCCACACGAAAACCTTCAGGTGACAGGTAGGTAGGTGCTCTCGCTATAAGCGAGATATAATTATCTCGGCTCAGACGGAAGGAAGGGCCACCGCCCACGACGGAAGGAAGGGCCTGTATGGTTATCCATTAGAAGCCCAGTATGGCCCATCGAACCAAAACCACAATTTCAGCCATAATATAGGCCCCTTGAAGGCCAGAGACAGCAAACCCCTCCATCGCTGAAACCCTCCAAACGCTTGCCGCAATGGGCAGGAAACCCTCGGCTTCCGCCGCCGCCGCCGCTGCGGCTGCGGACCACGATTCCACCGTCGCCAGCGCCAAGGCCGCCGAGCTCCTAGCAGCAGCCGCTGACTGCGAGGGTATCCATGGGCACTCCATGTTCTTCGACGCCCTCGTGCAGCTTATACCCCCGCGCTTCTACCTCTCCGCCGACGATGATGTTCGCCCCTACTACCAGGGCCTCTCCAAGGCCGCCAAGGCGGCCATGAAGGCTCAGTCCCGCGCCAATATCAAGGCTGCCCGCCGAGCCCGCCTCGACCCGGCGGGGCCGCCTTCCTCCACCCTGGACCTTCTCAAGAAGTCCGTCGCCGACCAAGAGGCGGAGGAGAAGAAGGAAGAGGAGGAGGATAACTCACAAGACGGAAGCCAGGAGTCCGACGACGAGGCAACCTCAGAGGGCGGCGACGATGACCAGGACAACGAGGAGGGAGATGAAGAGGAGGAAGAGGAGGAGGAGGCAGAGGATGAGAAGCAGGAGATGCAGATGGCCCCGGCAGCAGTTGTCTCTGAAGATCGGTCGGTGACTTACGAGGAGCTGCGAGAGCGGCTTCAACGCCGCATTACAGAGCTCCGTGGGAACCGGTGCACCAGGCCGGAGTTCCTGAATAAGCCCCAGAAGGAGAAGGGTAAGAAGGGAAAGGGTGCTAAAGTGAAGGGGAAGGAAGAGGGTACAAAGCGGAAGCGTGAGGATGGCACTGGGGATGCAGAGGGTAAGGATGGGAAGAAGCACAAGAAGGAAGGGGAAGAGAAGGCACCAGATATCATGTATGGCAATGTGTTGGTTGATCCAAAGGAAGCAAGGCGGAGGAAGAAGAGGAGGATCAAGAACAAGAAGAAGGAGCTGGAGCAGGCTAAGCGGATGCAGCGGGCAAAGGAGGATCCTAAAAAGGCCACCAAGATGGCCTGGGATGTGGCAACAAGGCGCGCGGCTGGGGAGAAGGTGCACGACAACCCCAAGTTGATTAAAGAGAGCATGAAGAAGGATAAGAAGCGGCAGGAGAAGCATGCGGAGGAGTGGAAGGACAGGCAGAGGACAGTGGACATCAAGAAGAAGCAGAAGCAGAATAAGCGGAAGGAGAACATCCAGGGCCGGGCGCAGGAGAAGAAGGCACGCAAAATAGAGAAGCGCGAGAAGAAGCTTATGCGCCCTGGTTTTGAGGGGCGCAAGGAAGGCTATGTCAACGAGTGACATCTGCATTGAAGATGATGATGACTGAGTACTGTCTCTGCTTTATGTTTTCAAGGTTGCATATGTTGGTGTTGGTACTGGAAATAGGTATCCAGATTATGACTACCATACTTAATTATAGCTTGAAGATCGAATGTTTGGCAGGTCATCTGGAAAAGATTTTGAGATATTCCTTCTGCTGTATTTTCATTGAGCTTAGATAAATTTGTCGAAAAACAAACTTTCATGTCTGGCTTCATAATTATCTCTAGCACTAGACCAAGGAAATATTAATGTTCTTTTATGCTGCCTGAGGAAATGTTAATGATGCTTCAATGGATTTCGTTCTTTTCTTTGTAATTTGTAGCAGTGGCCTTATAGATTAGTTATGTCAAATTATGCATCAGTGAAGATGTTCTGGGTACAGGCTTATCTAAATTCTTCTTTGCTTGGTAAATTGGAATCCACAATGCCCACTTCTCATCATGTTATGCATATGCTACATGTCAATAGTCTATATCAATCTTATTTTGCAAGCTTATACTGTAGTAATCTACAGTCTGTATTATGGCGTTGAGTTATACTGCAGGACGCTGATTTGTTAGTTTACTCTCTGCAGTTATATCCTAGATTAATTTGCAGCCTTATTAGTAAGGCCACATGTATACCTTTGTGTTTATTCATTTGTGTCCACTGTTGTCAAGGGTGAGGTACTTGTTCCCTTCCATTTTCTTGCCAGCAAGGGGACAGACAACACCTGCATCTATATAAAAAGGGGGATTTTCAGCCTGTCTTGTATGTGTACCTGCTCGAGAAAGGGCAAAAAAGCAAAAGGTATCATTTATATAGGTACTTGGAATGCAAGGTTAGGATCATCTCTCTCCACAAGATATTCTTTCTGTTCGGCGACAAGTTTGAGAGATTTATATGAATCATAGCGGATTTAGGAGGATTGATGGAATGTAGATGCGCCTTAGTGTGCATCCGTTGATGTTCTTCGCGAGCACTTCCTCTGAGGTGCTTTCACATCGCTGATTGCTTTCTACCCTATGCAAGAGGTCTCTCCTTTTAGTTATCACTTGAATAGGATACATGGCGTTCATATTCTGTTTGATTACTTTATTCCTGTGTGATTTTGGCTCTAAAGATGATAGGTTTCAGAATGTGGTTAGTTTTGCGTCTGTCATATGCTTGCTGCTGTTACACATAATTGTACTTTTGTCTTCGACTTTGCGCTAGAAGCATTCTTGTTCTAGACTTCCAGCTGTATTGTTCATGGCACTATTTTTTTCTGCCTTTGTAGCCGAGGATTACTGTGACTGTTTGGACTGAATTATGATTTTGTAGCATTTGTTCCATGTGAGAGATGGTGGTATGTTGATATAATTCTGAAATAATAGTGGAGTGTAGGAACGGTATGCTAATTTTGCATTTGCATGCCTGTTGGTTTATGATGCCATAAACACAAGGGCCCTATACATCAGTTGGGTATCTTGCTTGGACTTCTATATTTATTACTCCCTCCGTCCCATAATATAAGAGTGTTTTTGACACTAGTGTAGTGTCAAAGCTACTCTATTATGAGATGGAGGGAGTATTTTGGTGCTAGATCTTTGGCTATGAGGCGCTATGGATTTAAGAACTTTAAAGCCGTGGATTTTGTCTAATCTTGTTGTGCTTCGGCCTCTGAGCTTTCAACTGAACCTGAAGACTGGTACTTACTTTTGTGGATGGCTAAACCTGAAAGTTCTGAAGCTAAATCTGTTACCCCTGGGTTGTCCTCTATACAAAATTTGTAAGTTGAAGTGCTATATCTTGAGCGTTCCTTCTTTTCGTTTCAGTGATCATGATCATGGTGTGACATCAAGTTTTATCTTTGCTCCTCAGCATACTGCAGCTTCGTTGGTATCATCTAAAGGCGTCTGAACCTGGTTCTTTTTAGGCATGGTTTTGTTTTACTCATCAATGCATTTTAGATAGTGAAATTGTTCCTCATTATTCCCTGTAGGACTGTTCATTGTTTATTGCCTGCCAGTTGTACATAAATTCCTTTTGCCCTGGCAAAAGGTTGTTTCACGCTAAAAGGAAATGAATTTCCATCATAGCTTCGGTCCAGTTGTAGCTTCAGTTCATTACATGCATGAGTAGGTGTTTCCTCGTGCAGACGAGTATTACCTCTGTTCATAAATACTACTTCCTCCGTTCCAAATTACTTGACCCCCATTTGTCTAGACACGGATATATCTAGACACTAAACAAGTATAGATACATTCGTATCTAGACAAATGAAAGTTTTAGAGACTTGTATAATTAGTCTAAAACATCCTATATTGGTTAACACAGGGAGTGTCTCATTATTTTCAGTGGACGATATCTGCTTTTTTTTCTCGAATACGCAAGAGTATGTGTATCATGCATTAAAGAAGGAGAGGGAAAGCTCCCCAAAGTTGCACGCGTTACATCATATGTACAAGCGGTCAAGCCGCATCCACCTCACATTCGTAGGCTAACTACACCCTGACTGCCCACTCCAAGTTTCCTACCTCAAAACCTCTAATTGCGCCCTTGAGCAGTCCTGCCTTTGCCCACAAGATTCCTTCCTCTGTCATGTGCTGCGTGATTGTCGCCAATGATGGCGTCGCGCCGTTGAAGACGATAACATTCCGATGCTTCCAGATGAGCCACATGCTAAGGAGACTCAAAGTCCGAATGTTCCTCTTGTCTTGCCTGCTCCGGTCCTGCCTAGTGCACCATGCCTCAAGGCTCTCCTCATGTCTTGGTTCGAAAGCATCTCTACCTGTTTTGACGCTCAGCCATCTCCATACCTGTCTCGCGAACACACAATATCTGCTTCTACAATCGCATGCGACTCTATCCCTGGCCACATCGGGCTTATACTCGTTCTTTACTTTTATGCATGCTTTGTACATTTGTTGGCAATGGAGTCCTCATTTTATGAAGAAGGAAAAAGTATGGACTATTTCTAAAATTATTAAACCAATCCTATTTTTTTGGAAATTGAGGCAAAATATTTGCCGCATCCATCAATGTGCAAGAGAATGTGTTAAGTTCTCCGGTTGTAGCCACTCATTGGCCAGGCTCCAAAGGTGAAGGGTGAAATAACACTTGAAGAATAGACGCGTCCCGGAGTCTTGCTCCCTCTTGCATAGGGGGCAATGGTGTAGTTTGGTCAATCTATTGGTGGTTCATATTCTATTTTGAATGATCAATCAAGTGAAGAACTTGACTTTTGAAGGATCCCAACCCTTCCACACTATATGGGACATAGGGGAGTAGAGTTTCCATGAGTTGTATCGAATAGGCGTATGCCGTGAAGTAATATGTATATAGCTCGAGCGGTTGCGGGTTGCGGATCCTTATCATTTGATCATACCATGGCAGTGCGATGTTTGTTTTTTTGTACACAGATGGTACTTTATCCGATGGAACTGAAATGCTTAAAATACAACATGCATTCCAAATTGCCTCGAGGAATGATGGAGTGGTTTGTTGTCCTCATAAGTGTTTTTTTCCTTTGTGAAAATGATGCAAATTTATTGTCAAATTTTACCAGAAGCACAAAGCATCTCAAACATAATAAAAATTACATCGAGATTCCAAGACAAAAACTCAAACATAATAAAAATCCCACCATAACTCTGGTTAGGGAAGGAAAATGAGATAACTCAAGTCAGGGGAGGAAAATGAGAGAACTCGTGAGCCAGCCGGTGAAGTCTGGAGACGAATCCACGGGCTCACGGTGTAATCTGGAGGGAAGAGTTTGCCCGAACCACTCGGATTAGGAGAGAAAAATGAGAGAACTCATGGACCAGCTATGTGTTTCTTCTCTTCAAAGTCAGAACAAAGTCGTAGTTTTTTTAGGATTGTTGTCCTCAGGTAGTTGAAAGTGATCATGCCACAAGTCACCGGTGCACGGATTTGTTTTTTGAGGGAAAAGAACTTTCATTAATCAAACTGGGTGATTATAATCAGATATTACAATGCTAGCTATCTCAACAGGTGCGTTACGAAGCCAACATGCAGTTCGTTGTTGCGAACGACCCATACCTGTAAGGGCGTGGCTGGCCGCATTTGTATATCGACTAATCTTAGCTAGACTTATATTCCTTTCGTGAGTCAGCATCCTTCTGATCTCACTAATACGATGTGTATACCTGGATTTATCGATCCCACTCGCACGGATCATCTGCAACATTTCATCACAGTCTGTCTCCACAATTAACGGAAGCTCCGTCCAATGAAGAGCAAGTTGCTGGCCTTCCTGCATTGCCGCCAACTCAGCTTCAAGGGCGTCGCTGCAGAAGAACAACACACGGGTTGCAGCAAAGATGACCGTCCCCTCCTGATCACTGGTGCACGGATTGATTGCCATAAAAAAGGTATAACATTCAATAGCTTGAGGGAAATCCACTAAGACCACGCGGTCCAGACGTGATATGCCATCCAACGTGGTACTCCATCCGTGGACCGATCTGGACTTCTATTTCTTGCAAATTGGAAAGGGGGTTGGGGGGTTGCGGGTGTTTGGACCGCTGTCATGCATGTGTCTGACAATCTGGTCACACCCAAAACCCTTTCCCGCCCAAAGTGGTTGCCCCACATTCATGTGCTCTAGAGCGCGAGCTCCGCATTCATGCAGCCGAGAGCAGATATGATCTCTCACTGGTGCTGGCATTGAAGCGACTCGTTGGCCAAGAGTGATGCCCATGCCGTGTCCTCGGTGTCCGGCTTGTTCAATGCCGGAGGGACATTACTGGATGGGATGGGACAATCTATCGCATTCAAACGGGCTACCCTTCCATCTGCCTGCCGTCATTAAACACGCATGCCGACCAAGAAGCCAACTCCCTTACAGACTAAGGCATAGCCTAGTGGTGGTAAGGGGCTGATGCCTTCCCACCCACCCGGTTCAAGGTATGGTACTTGTAATTTGGGTTTATTGTACCAAACTGTTGGGGCCTCCCTTACATCTTTCTGTCAAAAAAAGAGACCAACTCCGG